TGTGTTTTGGCCTCCTTTATATTAGAAATATGTTAAGTATATTTTAGGGAAAAGAGTAAAAAATGCCTTTATACTATATGAAATGATAAAAAATGCCATTTGTTTATATTTTGGTCCATTTATGCCCTTACTATTTGTGAAATGGACCAAAAATGCCCTCAGGTGTAACGGAGGCAACCTAAAATATTTAAACAATTTAATTAATCTTAATTTGTCTACCCTCTTCTCTTTATCCGATGAACCCAACTCCTAGAAACATATTATCCTCAGTATAATAATAATAATAATAATAATAATAATAATAATAATAATAATAATAATAATAATAATAATATAAAAAACAAAGTGTAAAGCTTATGCGTGTCGGTAGCGGGCCCGCGCTACTGTAGCAAAACTGTTCACCAACACTGTTACCAGGACCCAGATAGGGGCCCAGTATCCTATACAAAGATGCTTTCTTTTTTCTATAAATAGGTTTGTTTTTCTTTAGTTGAGAGCATGTTTTAGAAACCCTCTCCCCTTCTTTCTACTTTCTCTCTCCCCACTTGTAAAATATTTTCAAGTGTTGTAAGATTACCGGACTTTGGCCGGAAGTGGTGTTTACTATAAGGTACTTCCTTTTATTTTCAGCTTTATCTTTTCATCTCTGAGTTAAGCCGTGACTATGTCCGGCTAAAAAATTATATCTATGCCGGATAACTAACTTCTCTTTTATATAAACCATGAACGGATCTAAGCTTTATTTAAATATAAAAGAATTTTAGTATGGCTTCTCTACTTGGTTCTGAGATTGATGTACAGTCAGATCTAGTACTACTTTTATTGGCTTTGTCTTTGTGATTCCGTCTGATGAGCCGTGGTTTTTAGCTCGAAAAAGAGTTTGATAAGTAGGGCGCCTGATACCCGGTTAGAACTATGAGACACATGGGTTCAATAAAAGTATGTATTAGCTTCTTGACAGACCCTTTGCTTGGGTAAAATAATTAAACCATGCAGTCTGAGATTGAGGTACAGTCAGATCTAGTACTACTTTTATTGCCTTTGTCTTTGTGACTCCGTCTGATGAGCCGTGGTTTTTAGCTCGAAAAAGAGTTTGATAAGTAGGGCGCCTGATACCCGGTTAGAACTATCAGACACATGAGTTCAATAAAAGTATGTATTAGCTTCTTGACAGATTCTTTGCTTGGGTAAAATAATTAAACCATGCAGTCTGAGAAACTATGTTAAAATTCTTATGTATTTCGATTCTTATGTAGTTGGACTACCTCTAAGGATATTGACTTGCTTGATCTATGACTGGGCAGACCACCGCCAGGTCAGTGATCCTGTATCATTAATAATAATAATAATAATAATAATAATAAGAAGAAGAAGAAGAAGAATAAGAAGGAGAAGGAGACGGAGACGGAGAGGAGGAGGAAGACGAGGAGGAAGAAGAGGAAGAGGAGGAAGAGGAAGAACATAATACATAGATAAATAAATTATACTCCATGTGTGAAGTTTACCTTTATCATTTGAAATAAAATTTGGTGGGTTTGAGATTTATGAAAATTACTAAGTTTGACATTTTTTGCATCTAAGATTCAAGAAAGAAAAGTCTTAGTCAAAGTTTAGTTAATATAGTATATAATTAATGGATGAAAATCATTGACATCGTCAAACTTCTCTTTATAAAATCAATTTTTTAAATACCTATTTTGCCCTTGCATTATCAATATTTTTAGTAAAAGATATACTCCCTCCGTCCTATTTTATGTGGCAACATTTCCTTTTTGGTCAGTCCCAAAATGAATGTCACATTTTCTTATATGGTAAGTATTTAAAGGTACAATTCTTTTTTTATCCTTGTTGGTCCCACTTAATCTTAAAATAATACTTCAATACATTTATTAGGAGAGAGAAAAGTGAATCTACTTTTTAAAGGGCAATTTGATAAACATTTCAAAGTCTTCATTTATTTCTTAAATTCCGTGTCCTGTCAAATGTTGCCACATAAAATGGGACGGAAAGGAGTATATTAGTACATTATATTAGCCAAAAGTATTAAACTACCTTTATTAAGTTCCAGAATTACATGGGTAATATGTAATAATTACTCTCTCTTTCAATTTGTTTGTATACTTTTAATCCGATACGAAATTTATGAAGAAAAAAAGAAACTTATAATTTGATGGTCTTAAGTGAAAGATATGTAAATTATAATGTACCAAAAGATCATTTAATATTGTGGCTAAAGAGCTGTCAAGAAAGGAAAGAGACGTCCTTATCGGATCAGACCAATTAAAAAGAAAAATAAAGCAAATAATTTGAAACGAAGGGAGTTAGATTTTAGGGTGTTTAAAGAACTTACTTGAATGAGATAAGAGACCATAGATGTCCTAAAATACTGGAATAAGTATTTGGATTACGAGAAAGTTTTCTCCCAACCATAACGATAATGAGCCTTAGCATGACTGAAGCATTTGGCATTTCTTGTTTAATAATATTATTTGTATTTGATGAATCTGCAGCTCCAACTTCTTGCACTGGGAAATTTGATATATCTCTGAAGCTGATTTCCTTTTCTGGTTTAAACAAATCATAACTTGTTGTTAGTGATTAAAGAAAAAAAATTTACTTAACCATCAAAATTCATTGGTCTGACTAATCCAAATTCATTAAAATAGTGATTACACTAATCACTTTTCGGCTCTTTTTTTGAAAAATAATAAATCCAGAGTTTCAAATTTCACAAGTCTAATTCCAAGAATATCATGAAGTTTTACTTTATTGTGGATTTTGAAATTTTATCATCAAAGGAGTGATTTCTACTAGGAATTTCTTTATTTAAGGCTCCAACTGAGTTGATCGACTTGTTAAGTATATAGAAATTTCATTTATTTCATCACAGTTGACGAGACGAAGTAGGTTAAGAGAAGCATAAACAAAAGTGGGCAACAATGGAGTGGAGAGATGATGATTTATCAAAGTTGTGTTTATGAGTAGCAGATTGAAAGTGCGCTCTATCAAATAAGTCTCTCCATCAAAACACACGTGCTTTAAAGTAATGATACTGTCTATATATGTTAAAGTCTGGTCCTATTATTATTTTGCCCATTTAAGAGGAAATTGTTGTTCTCATTTCCCTTTTTGAGTTTTTCCATTTTATTTTTGCTTTTTACTTATATCCATATTTTTTTATGAAAATAAAACTCGATGCTATAGATTGCACTTTTTTCAGGATAGACAAGTCCCTGTTTAGGAAAAGTGGCAATGAAAATCAGTCTCATACACTTCTCAGTGTTTTAATAAATTATTACTTTAAAATAAAAATATTTTCTTATCATTTAGCAACTAAAATAATTATTTGACCCAATAAGTATTCTTCGGACCAAGCTAAATTATATATGTACCACTCTCTTTGTCATGAAATTTAAAACAGAAGGCAAAAGTTATAAAATTATTAGTCTAAAATTATCTTTAAATAGTAGTGCTTGTGTAACTATAAATTATGTCATGATTAATGAAATAATTAATGATCAATACAAGGGAGATGCCACCAACAGGGCTAATTATATAAAAAGTAATAGTATAAAATATCTCATTAAAAAATTTTAAAATTAAAATTATCTTAAATATATAAAAGTGATATAACTTTTGGGACAGGTAAGAATAATAATAATAAAAGAAGTCCAAGTCTGTTGATGAGCTTTGTGACGGACTATATTTAATCGAAGCTATTAATAGATCGAACCAATCAATTAAAGTATATAACCTACTAAAAATAAAAATTGTGTATCTGACATAAATACTATATGCACAAATATACTGAATAATGCAATGTACAAATTCAATTTGGTATAATTTGAAAAGAGTAGTTATAATAATTCAGGTACTTTGAGTGGTCGAATTTATTGAAGATTTTGGAGTCATTATAAGAATCAACCAATTTGTTGTATTTGATATGTCAGGTCACAGGTGATATGTGTGGTAGACAGATAAATGTAAGAAATATGAGAGTGAAAAGGGTACAACATGTGAGAATCTAGGGACTACACATTATTCTTGGGCATGCCAATCAGAAAGCTTTTATTTTCAAAATGTAATCATCATATACTCTCTATGTCAATTTATATAACAAATTTTTATTTTTAGTTTGCCTCAAAAGAATGATATTATTTTTATATTTGTAATATTTTTATTTTAAAATATCAATTTTAATATCAATAAAATGATTTATAATCAAACAAATATTTATAACTTATTTTAGACCACATGTTTCTAAAGTCTTTTTTTTTTAATTTTATATCAAATCAAGCTACATCATCTCTGTACCCTTGTCCCTCTCCATTTAGACATGACGACTCCCACGCCATTTTACTAGATGGAGACGCCTGCTTAAACACCTTACCCGCCACTGGGGACATCACCCACATTGGGGTATTCCCACTTGTTGTCACAATAATTGTATCCAATTCATTGAAATTCGAGCCCCCCAGCCCTCCAGCCCCCCTCTTATCCCAAAAAAATATAAAAACAATTTTTAAAAAAAACCTTTTTTTTACCACTTCACCCCTTGTAACTTTTTTTTTTTTTTTTTGAATGGGCATCTTTTACCCATTTAATCTATTTAACTATCCACTTTTAATGGGTAATATGAGTATTATTCATTTTTATCCATTTTGAAAGAAGAATCAAGAGAACAACAGAATTGTACTCACAATATTCATCAATAAAAATCACATTTTCTTTTATTTATTTTGCTTATAGTTAATTTTAATTTTCAGCTCTTACAGAAATTTGTTGCGAACAGGGCGGTCTCATTATAAAATTTGAACAATTCTCCTTTCTTTGAGTAGGATCCATCTCACCCGAACTTTAAAGATCCCTGCCCAAATTAAATTGCAAAACAATGATGGAAACTATAGAGTAGCTATACATTTTTTTCTCTGCATCATTTATGAATTAGGCACAAATTATATATCCATCTATATAAATAAGCTTTCCTTGTAAACAACATTGGTCACTCTTTAATTAAACTTTGTATTAGTCATGATGCAGACTATAAGTTTCTCCCAATTCAACATTCCATCGATTCTACGGGCCTCACCTCCCCCTACAACCACCATACACCGTCGCAAAACCACCTCATCACGGAGGTTATCTCCGGTCCTCGCGGTGGCTTCATCCACAACTTCTCCATCACGCCACCAGGTCACTCACTCAATGCCACCAGAAAAATTGGAAATCTTCAAGTCATTAGAACCTTGGGTTTCTGAAAACATCCTCCCACTCCGCAAGCCCGTAGAGAAATGTTGGCAGCCCATTGAGTTTCTCCCTGACCCATCTCAAGGGCCCGAACAATTCGAGGAAGAGGTTCGGGCCCTAAGGCAACGAGTTTTAGGGCTTTCGGATGAGTACTTTGTTATGCTTGTGGGTAATATGCTAACTGAGGATGCTTTGCCTACCTATCAGACTTTTTTAAATACGTTTGATGGAGTACGCGATGAGACTGGATCCAGCCCATGTCCATGGGCAATTTGGACTCGCGCATGGTCAGCTGAGGAAAATCGACATGGTGATCTGCTACGTACTTATCTTTATCTTTCGGGAAGAGTGGATATGTTGATGGTTGAGAAGACACTACAATACTCTATTGGAGCTGGAATTGTAAGTGTTGCTTTGAGCATTTTCATAAAATTATTTAGTTAAGTTGACCTATAACATGAGATAATATAAATAAAGTAGTAAATAAGTTCAATGAAACCACCAAAAAAAATAAAAAAAAATAAAAAATATATATATATATAGATAGAGCCTTTTGAATAGAAGGAAGTGGGAGAGCAGAATTCCCGGCATATTTTTTGAAAATACATCTTATAAATATAAGTTGCTCATCATGTTTGAATTTTAGGACATCGGAGCAGAGAACAATCCATACATTGGCTATGTGTACACGTCATTTCAAGAGCGAGCCACATTTCTAACGCATGGTAACATGGCTAGGTTAGCTACAGAAGGCGGAGACCCCGTGCTAGCGCGTATATGTGGAACTATTGCAGCGGATGAAAAGCGTCATGAGAATGCCTACACAAGAATTATAGAGAAGTTGCTAGAAGTGGACCCAAACACGACTATGATAGCCATTGCGAATATGATGAAGAAGAGAATTACTATGCCGTTGCACCTCATGTATGATGGGCAAGATCCGAATATATTTGAGCACTTTTCTGCCATTTCCCAAAACCAAGGCGTCTATACATCTCGTGATTATGCTGAAATATTAGAATTTTTCATAACAAAATGGGAATTGGAAAAGCTTGAAGCCTTGACAGGGGAGGCGAGGCGTGCACAAGATTTTGTGTGCGGACTTCCACGTAAGATTAGGAGGTTGGAAAATCGAGCCAAAAAATTAGAGTCACGTTCGGCGAAATTTAGTTGGATTTTTAACAAGCAAGTGAATGTTTAGATGTATTGATTTGTAATAAAGATGTAAAACTAAAATGTATCCTTTTACTTTTTACTCTTTACTAATAATAATAGTCTTTTTGGCTAATCTACTAAAAAATGAACTTGTCTTTAGTGAATAGCGGTTTGTATTTAGCTAAATTATTTTTGAGAAGTGCTTTTATTAGTAGTTTGTGTTTGGTCAATATTTTAAGTGTTTTTAAATTTCAAATTACGAAAAATATAAATACTACTAATTAATTCGATAAATATAAAATTTTGATATGAGTAATCTTGTTCTAAAAGAATTATAAGTATTTATATTTGGAAGAACCTATATATTATCAGACTTCAATAAAAATATTGAAAATCAGGGAAAACAAAGCTTGAAAAAATATGCTATAAGCAAGGAAAAGGAAATTGATGGTAGTAAAAGGGCCAAATTCGTCAAGACACGCAAATTATTTTTATAGGGAGCAACTGTATGCCTGTAACATACTTTTGTCAAAAAAAAAAAAAAACTGATCTATTTTAATGTTATTACAAAAATGCCCCAATACCAGAGAAAAAGCAAAGGACATGAAAGCGCTTGAAGTTTTTATAAAAGATGCTTAGTTATTTTGTCATAAGAAAACTAATCATTTGATAGAGTGTATTAGGAAAAATAATATATGTATTAGCCTTGTGTATTATTAGATCTGTTTGATATTCTTTTCCAATATATGTATAATTAGTTATACACTCTATTGTGTATTAAGGTGTGCATTGCTAATACCATGAATTTCTAGGTATTAGCAACACAATGATTTTAATGCATGCATTAACATGATAAAAGACTCAATTGCCCCTCAAAATCTTTTTTTACATTTTTTCCACTATAATAGTGGAGGGTATCTTTGTAAATATTTTTTTTATGCAATGCATGCTATTTCTAATGCATCAAACCAAACAAATCACTAAAATAATCTACGTCTAATTAATGCAAGCATAACTAATAAATATATTGCTAATACAACCATTATTAATACACTATATTTAACAATGTTCTTATACACTCTGCCAAATGACTCAAAGAGTTTTATGCTTATAGCTAAGCGTGGCAATGGGATCGGAATCGGGACAGACAAAAATCGGGCACCATGGGCCAGAACCGTACCAGAACCGGGACGGACTGGAACTAGTAATTTCGGAAAAAAATATGTATACCCGTTCCGGACCGGTAATGGACGGGAAACCGAGTCCCAACGGCTATATTTAAAAATAATAATTATTAAAATTTAAAAAATTAGGAACATTACTCAAATAATATTAAAACTTTTATAATTTTAAAGTTAAAAAATTATACTTTTAAAGTTTTAAATACAAACTTTAAAAGTATAAAAATTTAAATTTCACACTTTAAAAGTATGAAAGTTTAAATTCAAACTTTAAAACTATAAAAGTTTAAATTTTACACTTTAAAAGTTTGAAAATTTAAATTCAAACTTTAAAACTATAAAACTATAAAACTATAAAAGTTTAAATTTCACCCTTTAAAAGTTTGAAAATTAAAATTCAAACTTTAAAACTATAAAACTATAAAAGTTTAAATTTCACCCTTTAAAAGTTTGAAAATTTAAATTCAAACTTTAAAACTATAAAACTATAAATGTTTAAATTTCACACTTTAAAAGTTTGAAAATTTAAATTTAAGACAATAATAAAAAAAATTAAGGCGAATAGCCTATACTTTTATTAATATTAATTAATTAGTACAAGTTGAGTTACAAAATATTGTTTGAATTAGACCACGAATTATCATACTCATACTAATAGACATTTAAATTTAATAGTTCATACTATCAAGGAAATCTTTTTTTAAATCATGTAACATTTCTCTAGTAACATGCTCTGGAATTGGTTGATTAGATAGTTCCTCCATTGCATCAATGTCGTCGTCACTAAAATCATGCATTATTTCATCAACGTCATTTTCAAATTTGGTCGGTAAAGGTGGACGACCATAACTCCTTCTCTCTCCATTAATCCAATCTCTAAATAGTACTGATATCTCCAAGCTATTTGCTGCTAATGAATATCTATGCTCTCCAATTTGAAATCTTGCTACACTAAAAGCGCCTTCCGAAGCTACTGAAGATGCTTGAATAGCTAACACATCTCGAGCAACCGGTTGAAGTTTTGGAAATCCCTGGCCGTGATTGCTCCACCATTCTAGAAGATCAATAGTAGTAGGTTCTGCATTTTGATTAATATATGCATCAAAATCATTTCTATCATTATGAGAAAGTTCAAGATAACAATCTATCATATCATCAAGATCAACTTCATTATATCTACTCCTAGAACTTTGAGGCTCTTCATTACATACTACATTCATTCTATTAGAATTATACAAGTCATACAATTTTCTAGCTTCAATTTTTATACTATCTTTAACATCTTGACAACTAGGTGTTTCATCATCTTCACTATCAATACCCACATTAAAATATATTTTATCAACCATTCGTGATGCACCTTCATCTTTGTAATGTGGGTTTAACAAACAAGCGGTTAAATAAATTTGAGGAATAGGAATTAAATATTTTTAAAATTTTTCAATCATTTTCTTAACAGATTCTTCAAATCTTGGTTTATTTTTGAATTTATAAAATTTACTAGAAATAGCACAAATATTAGGTAAAACAGAGTAAATAATTGGATAATAAAGTGCAAATATTTTTTTGTAGTTAAATAAAAAACTTTTAAGAATTCTATAAGTTCTTTTACGTCATTCCAATCATTATCACTTAGTCTACATGTCATATTTGAATTATGAGCATTCCAAACCATTTGTAAAGGTTTCCTATATTCACAAGTGACTTCACATATAAAAAATTCCATTTAGTACACACTGATTTTGGAATTTTTCTAGGTGGAAGATTAAATTCACGACAACGATTTTCAAAATCTCTACGTCTAGACTTAACTTGACATTTAAAAATAAAATGACATGCAGTTTCAACTTTTATGCAACCATCATTATACATTGCTATACCATCTCTAACAATCAAATTATATATGTGTGCAACACACCTAATATGAAAACCATCAATATAAATAGGGCAAAGAGACAGTTTTAGTATTTCAATAGCAGATCTATTATTAGAAGCATTATCTAAGGTGACACTACTTATTTTATCACAAATTTCATAGTTTTGTAAAACATCTATAATTGTTTGAGCTATATAACTAACGATTTTATGCATTTCACAACATTTATAACCTAAAATTCTTTTTTGCAAAGTCCAATTTTCATCAATCCAATGTACAGTAATAGTGAAATAATCATTACCATTTACACTACGGCCCATATCAGAAGTAATAGTTATTTTACAATTATTATAATAAAATAAACAACGAAGATATTAAAAATGTTGAGCTTGATAATCAAAGATAGCCTTTTTAATTGTATTTCTAGTAAAACCTTAAAATGTGGATTATACACAATTTGAATATAATGAATAAAATCGGAATTTTCAGCAAAACTAAATGGCAAACCCAAAACAACAATCATTTTAGCTAATTTTTCAAGATCTTTTTCTCTACTATATGACCGTTGTATACTAGAGCTAGAAACATTAGAAAGATTTAATTGTGTTTGGACCATATTAGAGCCCCCTACTCCTACAGTTTCAGGAAGGGTGGCACCATTCTTTTTAGCTTCGGCTACAACTTTAGCATGCGAAATTTCATTTATACAACAGGACATTAAATGATTACTCAAATGTCCCGTCCCACTCTATTTTCCTACAGTTTTATGATTCATTCTTTGTTTACATTTATTACAAATAACTTGTGTTTTATCTTCATTCTGAGTCATAAATTGCCACACAACTGATTTTTTAGCGTGTTCTACCTTAGGCCTAGGATGCATGGGGGGAACAAGAGCAGGATAACGACGAGAGTCGGGGAAGAGGGACTGGGAGTGAGAGTAGTAGCCGTAACTGGCTCAGTTTCATCATCATCATATTCATCAATATTATTATCAAAACTATCAATATAATCATTAACATCATCATGTTCATCATCTTTAGGTAATTTCTCATCAAAATTACCAAACCTTCTTTGTAATTGTTCATGATAAAGATCTAATCCACTATTACTATCAATATTAAAAACAGTTTCATTAACATGCATATAATCATCCGTATTTATCTTAATTGAGAAATTTTGTTAGTTTTAGATTTAGAAGTACTACCGGATTTTTTTATTTTTCTTGGATTTTGAGGTAGATAAATTAGTGAACGAATTAACTATGGTTGTTTTACCCTTTTCAATAATGTTTTTACCGAAATCCATATTCAAATATAAAAAGTGAGTAAATTATATATAATACGGAAATGTAATGCAAAGTTTTAAACAAATAAATAACTAAATAAGTAGAGACTAGAGTCTAAGTACTCACAAAATAAATAATTAAATGCAAACAAATAAATAACTAAATGAAAAGTGAGTTGGAACGAATGTACCAAACGTCTACTTAAAAAAGTAGATGTGTATGCCGAAAATTGAAAGTTGAATTTTGAAGCTCCAATTTCCAAAGACCAAATTCGTAATTTTAATTTTAATGAGAGATTAGAGAGTGAGACTTTTGAGAATTGTTGAGAGAGTAGAAGATAATATTTTTGTGAGTGAAAAGAATTAAGGATTTGGTGTATTTATAGTTAAAAAAAAAAGGATGAAAATATAGTTTTTAGAAGGTTGGGGTGTAAAAAAAGTTTGAGGGGGGGGGGGGGGGGTAGGGGGTGTTTTAGGGAGTTGTGGGGGTGAAAGAGCCATTGTGGGGCCCAAAAGATGTTGGCCAACGGCTCCTACAACGGCTAATTGCATTTTTTTTTAAAAAAACACCGGACTGGACCGGGATCGAAACAGGGACTAACCGATAAATCCCGATTTCCATCCCGTTACCCCTCCCGAAGCCGCTACTAACCGGACCTAACTGGTACAAGCCGGAATCGAGACGGGACCAGTAACGGACCGGGACGAACCGGAACCGAAACCGGCACCTCCCGATTCCATTGCCAGACTTACTTATAGCACAAGCATACAATGCAACAACATTAATGAAATAACTTTATG